TGTCCAAGAGGGCAAGGTATGCACCAAGAACTGGGAACAGAATTGGATGGTTACAAATGTCTAGTGTGTATTGTAAAAATGTACATTTGTAGAAGTAAGTTTAGTGCTGATGAAATGTAATAGACTGATGCCCTGCAGACAAAGTCTTTTTTTTTTCTAATAACAGCATGGGCAATGGCAGTACAAACTTCCTCACACTGCTCAGCCAATATGCTTTATCACTAACCTGTGGGTGGTATTTTTCCAATAAAAACACTGGTCAGCTAGAAATTGGACTGAAACCACCAATAGATTTTAATATAGGCTAAACAACCAACAGAATAATCTTTTTCAGGAATCACCAGATGAAACAGAGTCAAACTAGCATTCCTAAAGGTAAAAGATTCTATATATTATTGTTAGCCTTTAGAGGCATGCCCTTAGAGCCATGCCATCCACTACATGTCTAGTTTTTTTAAAAAAATTCGCAACTAAACTGTCATAAATAAAATCAACTCCCCTTATAAACAAATTGAAGTCTACTTTCATGTAATTTATAGCAGGCATCTGAATGAATACAATGCTTTATTAGTTTGTCAGAAGACTACCTTGTATTCTGCAGGCTCTCCATAAGTAGTAAGAATGTATAATTCATCACATCTGTGCTCAACATGATAAATGACCCCTTTAGTTCGCTGTTGTACAAGAATAGGTGAATTAAAAGGATGGCTACAGTCAACCAACCAAACTTCAGAGCTAGTCTTGCTGTTACTGTTGATAGTGAGAAAACGTCTGTCTTTTGTGCAATTTATATCCACAAAAAACCTGCAAGAAAAAATAATGAAGTTAAGCTCACAGAGTTCTTATTTCAAAAAGTCTCAATTCTTTCAGAAAGAAGCAATTCCATCTATGTTAAGATGAAGCACAACTAGTTGTTAGGGCAAGGAATAGAAAGTTCAGGACTTTCGGACTCTAGTGACAGTTGTGCTGTCTTCTTCCTCCAAGGAAACACCTATGAGGGGCAAGTTAGAAAATAAATACATTTCAAAAGGAACAAGTAGAAAGAAAAATCTTGGAAGCCAAACACAAAACTAAAAACTGAGAGGGGAAAAAATCCCCAAACAAATAAAAACGATGATCTAGAAAACTACTTTAGAAGTAACAACATTTGGTCTTTGAGATGGTGCAACTCTGTGGTGGTGCTAAATGTTTTCAGTCGGTTCAGACTGGGGTGTATTTGGAAAGGGAAAGAAGACTTTTGGTGTGACAACCTTAGTGGGATCCACATCAGGATTGACATTGGTAAACCTGGGAAGTGGGAAAAGCTGTACTGTCCCCTCTTCACTTGCTTGCGCAGCATTCTTCTTGAGTAACTCTAGTGGTTTGTAAAAATGTAAAATGAGTCTTGGAGTAATTTTACTGTAGTGCACGTCAGTATCAATGATGCTTTCAGATTATGGTAATAGGCATAATATCAAACTAGAGATGTGTTAGGATACATGATTAAATGCTTAATCGATGAGCCTGGACTCATCGGTTAACCTTCATGGTTACACACAAGTTCTCTCTTGCCCCTTGCTGCCTCTGCAGCAGCATGAAGGGCAGGGAGGAAGCAGACATGTAACGTTCTATCCTAACACTCATTTTACATTATTAAAAATCACTGCAGTTACTCAAGAAAAATGCTGCACAAGCACGTGAAGAGGCAGTAGTACAGCCTGGAATGTCTCAATGCCTTTTCCCTCTTCCCAGGTTTACCAATGTCAATCCTGATGTGGATCCCACTAAGGTTGTCAAACCAAAAGTCTTTTCTCCCATTCCAAACACACCTACTGAAAACATAAAGCACTGCCACAGAATTGCACTTTGTCAAAGGCCAGATGGTACTACTTCTAAAGTAGTCTTCTAGGTCAGTGTTTCTAAAGCTGGCTCTTTATTCTAGCAGCTGTAAGCAAAATGAGAGCCAATGGTTGGTAGTTGAAACCAGACCAAAATCAAACTTCAAATTGTTAATAGTACAAATAATTAACCATTGGAACAAGTTACCAAGGGATGTGATGAATTCTTCCATCACTTCAAAGTTCCACACTGACTGCTTGTCTTTCTAAGATGACACAGCTCAAGTAGAAGATATGTCGTGATGCAGAAGTTACTGGGTGAGGATCTAAGGCCTGTGTTATGCAGGCAGTCACATTAGGTAAGTGGCTGTCAAACTGTGTGTCAGGACCTCAAGGTGGGTTGGACCCCCATTTTAATGGAGTCATCAGGGCTGGTGTTCAACTTGATGGTTCCTGAGGCTGAAGCCAAAGCCTTAGCACCACCATCCAGGGATGAAGCTGAAGCACGAGAACTTCAGCTCCGGGTGGGAAGGCTCAATTTACACACCTCCCACAGGCTGAAGCCTCTTTGACCCCCACCCCAGGCAGCATGGCTCAGGCTTCTGTCCCTGCTCCTTGGGCTGTGTAGTAATTTCATTATCATAAGGGGGTCACTATGCAAGAAGTTTGAGAACCTCTGCATAGGATAATCGTTATCCTTTCTTTGACCTTAAAATCTACAAATAGGAATTAACAAAAACTTTAAAGAACATTTTCAGTGCTTTATTTATTTATTTTTACTGTGATGGTGGTTATCTTCCCCACACTATTTGATAATATTCCAGTATTAATTCCTTTTACTTGTTTGCCTCTCTCTAGGTCCTCACTGTCCTGCTCCACTTTATCTCCTTGCTGCCTTTGTGGTGGTGGTTTCAGCTCTATCTAGACTTTTCAGAACATAAGCCCTCTGCTTACCCAATGCCTACCAGAGTGGAGCACTGCATTCAGTCAGCCTGGATTCTATGGACAGCAGGCTGTAAAGTGTGCCATTCCTTTCACAAAGGTGTAAGGCCCTGATTTTCCTCTTTTAACATTATGGATTAGTGGTCTTCAGCTTCTTAGAAATGTTACACTTCAAATCTCAAGAGCTCACCTGTTCATCTACATCTTGCTGATGTATAACAATAACACTTCATTCTTCCACAAAGCAAATGGTTCAGCTGTGTACTGCACTATAACATGAATCTTTACACTGATCTTGCTGTTTGATTTACAGTAATGACTGTGACCTTCAGAACTGTTTCAACAATTTCTCTGTGGGGAAGTGTCTGGTCATTGCACCTTGTTCCACCTGATTCTGCCACCTACTTTATAGTTTTATACAACTATATCAATAAAGCACAGTTGGAAAATGGATCTCAGTTATTTCATTGCAGTTGAACAGCATCAGTCATGCTCCCATTAAAACTACTTCTTTACTGAGAATCTAATTCAGTAAGATAAAACTACCCACACATTTACAATGTAATATATAAAGATAAGCTTCTCAGAGAGACCAAATCATGCACTAGAACTGGAAAACGAGTTCTGAAGTGAATTTAGCAAGGATCTGTTTTTCTTCCTAAATCACTGCTTCTAGAAAGATTACTGAAAGGGTATTAAGTTGAAAACAGTATGATCACTGGGAACACAACAACTTCACTAACCAACTACTATGATATAACAGGGCCAGAGAGCAACAGGTGAGTAAACTCTAGGATGAGCAAGGCCTTATTCCCTGTGGACTAGGAAAAGGTTCATTATCATCACTCCCTTGATTATTGGGGCACCATCACTGATGAGCAATCAACCAATTGTCTCCACCTCTGACGATTGTGTGTTGATGCTTGAGTCTCCACAAAGTCTATTTCTGTTCACTCTTACGTTATCAATCCATCACTTCATCAGAGAAAGGCAACTTGCAACTGTGTTAAAATTACTGGACCATAAGCTTATTTAGCCATGCCAGCAAAGTTATATTGAACAGACTGACTCCACAAGCAGAAAACATCACTGCTGAAGAACAGGCTGGTTTTCATGCTGGAAGAAGTACCACAGAACAGATTTTCAACCTTTGTGTTCAACACCAGCAAGACAGCTAGCACATCTTTGTTGACTTTATGAAGGCATATGGAATGAAGCTCTCTGGACAACCATGAAATAGTACACTGTTGGTCATAAGCTTACCACTAACTACTGTATGCCTAAGCCAACAGTGCAGTTCTCTTCAATGGCAAAAGAGGAGAATGGTTTTGCACCACTGTTGGAGTCTGGCAAGACTCTCTTCTTTTTGACCTCTCTGTCAACATCTATTTAGAGCACATCATGACTGATGTCCTAGAAGATCACATATGTACACACAGCATGGGGGGGGGGGGGAGTGCAAATAATCTCAAATCTTTGGTTTGCTGATGACATTGATAGCCTGGCAGGTAGCAAAGATGAACTTGCCAACCTTGTGAAATGACAATGAAATAGCCTCAAAATACGGTATGGAAATCAGTGCAGAGAAAAGCTGATGACAGACAAACATGACATGATCAGCTCACATATCATTGTCAGTAGACAAGAACTGGAAACAATGAAATAGTTCAAGTATTTGAGGCAATCATTACTGATAAAGGATCTGCTAGAGGCCTTTCCCTTCACCCTCTCCTCTGGTTCTTGTTACGCAGAGAGAGAGCAAATGACCAGAAGGCCGAAACCTAGATACTGCAATGTATATTGGGGTTAATTGCCTGCAAATAATTATTCCAATTTCCTTCCTACTATATCCTATTTGACTTCAGTTTATATAGTAAAATTTGAGTTCTACATAGCAATATCGTAATCAATCATTTTACTAAAATTTTACTAACAAATCCTAACATATAGTAACATGATTTTCTAACTAGGGATGTTAAATATAGGTTAATTAATTAATCGACTAGTCGATGGATTTTCCATCGACTAGTCGATAAGTGGGGGAGCTGCAATGGCCTTAGTTCCTGGCCCCGGGAGCTAACCCCGCTGAGGCTCTGCCTTTTAAATGTATTAAGATCCCACTGGCTCTTAATATATTTAAAAGGCTAAAGTGCAGTGGGGGGGAGAGGGACGGAAGAAGGGAACCAATGCAAGCCGGGAATCAGTTGGCCCAGCTCACGCCGGGTCCCCTCACTGTGCTTCTGACTTTTAAATGTATTAAGAGCCAGCGGGCTCTTAATACATTTAAAAAGCAGAGTTGCAGCATCTGGGACTGGGCATGATCTGGGAATCAGCTGATTTCTGGCTCACACCTGGTCCCTGCTGCTCACCTGTCCCGCCACGGAGATGGTGCTGGCTGTTAAGCCAGCTCCCCCCAGCAAGGGCTCCTGCTCCTTCCCCTTACACAGCAAGGGGGGAAGCAACTAGTCGAGGGACTAGTTGACTATAAGAAAAATTTTTGCTTATCGGATAGTCAACTAGTCACTTACATCCCTATCTCGAACCAATTATATCCCACCACCTTAACTGATTTATACCTAGCAAAATTAATTATACAGCAGATAGAAACAATTAAAGAACCAGAGGCCATACAGATTAACAATACAATAAAAAGTGGGGGCCATATAGACAAAACAAGCACAGGTTCCTCACCTTGTGCAGTAACTGGTATTCCTCGAGATCGTGTTCCCATTGATGCTTCATGCTTGCTCTTGGTGCCATCCCAGCGCCTGGATCGGAGATTTTGAAGCACTCCCTGTGCAGGCCACACATACACATTGCCAACCAGTGCACGAACTGCCAGTAGGCACCGCTCACGCACAGCCTGAGCCCTCCAGTTCCTTCTCTACCCCGAAAGCCCTCCAGGTCTGAAACAGAGGGAGGAGGGTGGGTCGCAGAGCATCCACAGGGACAATATTTCGAAGAACTCCAATTACTGCTCAAGATGAGTAACCTATATTTCTCCTTTGAAAGGTCCCTGTGGATGCTCTAACAGCAGTTTTAGCC